TATATATATGTGTGTGTGTGTGTGTTTTACTCAGGTTTTCTAATGTTCTTACAGGCTACCTTTTATTGAAACTAACCAGAGTGTAGAAAATTTCCATGCTGATTATTGTCCTAAGCACTTTCATTCATTAGCTATCTTCACGGGGTTCTTTGTTAATATTGCCTGCGATCTTTAATCCGATACTACACCATCGGGCAACACCCATTCTCCGGCACTTTTTTTGAATGAGCGGCTACGAGGGCATCACCACACGTTGTTTACTACTTTCAGTGTCAGTCGACAGCAGTAGAGTGTGTGGGTTACCCAACTTTCTTTGTCAAAAACGCTCGTTAGTGTGCGCTCTTTAAGTCTATTAAAAAGGCGAGCGTATTCTATCTCTTCCTCTCTTTTTTCCCCTTCTTCCAAATGTAGACGATCGTAGATAAAGAACGCTGTCACTGATGCGTGTACGCTTCATTGGTCCTCTCTTGATTTTTGAACTCTCTCACACAGGCACACAAGCACACAAGCACACGTAACTATCACACGCGCTTATTTCACACACAAGCACATTCTCATAGCTAGTTTCAATGTCTTTTCCCTTAATTTCAGTTGTGTACTCATGCCATTATTTTTTTATACCTGCATGTAATAGCCTTTTGTTTTAAATTCATTGTTTTGTGTAACTTATTTTTACCCAGGCTCATATGAGTCCGCGAAAATTGTTTTCAGGACAAATGTTCTAGGAGCATTAAACTTTTACTATACAACGTACATACACTCGTATCAAATGTGTTTAATCCCACAACAAAGTGGTGAAATATTTTAAGCCAAACACAGTAGACTCCAGCAACAATTGTTTCAGTGATACGGTCTAACTAGTTTCCTATGAATAGTAGCTGCATACAGTATAGTATGTATATATAATTTTTTGGTTTTAGGCTTTTTTCTTTAAAACAATATAAACCTTGGTTGGAAGCATTAAAGATTGTTTTATTTCCGGTTTTAAACTGTGTCCTACCTTTAATAACACTGCAATATATATGTGGAATGAGTTGGCAAGACTGTATTTACACAGGGTTCTTTTAGGGTTGATTTCTGTCATCCTGTATTTTTCTGTCTTTCGGTAGTGGCCTGGTCTCAAGGATGCCGGATTAAAGAAGTCAGATACCATGTGTTTCGGTATTTATATTTTATAAGTTGCAGCAATTTTAAGCTGTTTTAGTTGGGACGTAATAAGAATTCTATGTTGGGGTTGGGTGCAAAAATGGAAAGAGAGGAGAGAAAGAGACAAAAAGGGAGATGTGATTAAGGTTGATAAAGGAGAGTAAAAATGAACAAGAAACATAAAATAGGAGAGAGAAAAGTTTATTAGAAAGCCCACTAAATTAAAAGATGCACATGCATGCATACGCGTCCATTAGAAACACACATACGCTTCCCTTAATATCGTTAATTATCCTAAATAATTGTAAAGAATTACGAACATAATACAACCTCTTTCGCATAAAGCCCTTATTAAACGATTTATACGTTGAAGATCATAATGGACGCTTATTTGTGCCGGCCATTTCTAATGAACAAGTCTCTCACTGCATTTATTAACAACAATCTCAACAACCAGTCGATTTGTACGAGCAGCATAGGGAGGGTGTACGCGGGGGGGGGGGGGGGTGGCAGCCGGCCTGATATGTTTTCCTTAAAATCCGAATCTCATTATAGAATCATTTGGTAATTTGCCAAAATCAATCATTTTACTGCCTCGACGAATATGCACGACACTTGTATGTTTATTTTTGTTTCATTTATTGAGAAGGAAGTCCAAAAAAAAATGTTTCCTCTTTCTTATATAATTAGCCGTTTCTATCGAGAAACATTCGTCTACGTATAGGCGTTCGGTCACACCTTAGTAAATACGAACGCACGTTGATGTCTAAGCTACTTACAGATGCGTAAAAAAACGGACTCTATTAGACAGAAAGACACATTTCACGATCTCCACGGACAAACCAGAACATAACTCATGGGGGGTACTTCAACGTAGTGTAATGGTTAACAAGCTTGTCATGTTAGACCAATTACGAGTGTGTATTGAGTTCGATTCTTACTACGGACTTCACACTTTCGGTCGTGTGCCACATCTAAGCTAATCTTAGAAAATCATTTGGACACCTCGAAATAGTGTAATGGTTAGTAAACTTGTCTCGATAGACCAATTACGACTGAGTAGCGAGTTCAATTTTCACTGGGTACGCCAAATGTTTGGCCTTGGGTCACATCTAAGCTAGGCTTGGAAAATCTCCATAATGAAAACCATTCCTTCCGTTACAAAACGTATGAAAACACACAAACACAAACCCTCTATACGTATGCATATATCAATCTCAATTTAGCGTTTCTATCCCTATTAACCTGCTTTTGCATATTAACCCTGCAGACCCTACCCCAAGAAGTATAGCTATGATTTCTGTAGCATTCTACGGAGTAGAGTTAATCTACGCTAACACGACGGGAAATTTTCTGAAGAATATATATATATATATATATATATATATATTAATCAACGAGTTTAAACATTTTCGGGTATACATACTGATATACATATATGATGAATATACTGTTTCGAGAGATAAAAAGTTATCTCCGCTTGACAATAACAAAAAAAAAAAACTAAAAAAACTACTTATTATTATATTCACGAGAATTAAAAACAGTCACATGACCTGACGAGAACCGCACGAGACATCATTAGGTGCGTAAATTATAACGATCTCTTATATTTAAGAAAAACAAACCACTTTAAGGTTCCATTATAATAATTTATTTCACCAGAGCCCTTTTAAAGGACGCCGGATCATCAGATAGCACTTCTAAAAGATGAAACGAAAAAATTTCGAGGCCAATGTACTGATGATGAAGAGATTATACTGATGACATAGGTATTCATTGTTGGGATAAGAATGTTCTTGAACAGAAAATCAACATCCTGTATCAAGTCTTTAAAGAAATAGGACACAAGATATATCTTTCTAAAACAGAAACTATGATCTGGAATTGGATAATGAAAGCAGCGATGCCACCTACCAGGAATCCATCATAATAATTCATGATTTGGAAATAGTAAATACAAAACACTGCAGATACGTCGGCGGGAGAATAAGAAATTGAAAATTGTGTCAAAGGTTGTTTCTCCCAAAACCACAAATTGCTAGAAAACCAGAACATCAACTTGAAAAATAAAATAAAAAAATAATCTCGTCAGATCGAGATTTTCATATGAATGTCATGCATGGCGTCAAACCCGGTCAGAAATATCTAAACTGTCAGTTGTATACAACCGCTTTCTAAGATCAATGGTGAAAAAAAAGGGTTTGAGAGTGTAAAACCTGGCAGTCTTGGCGTAGGTCATCCTTCCTTGAACATTGAGAAATGACGTTACAGAGTCATAATCAAAGAACTGTAACAGGAATCACATCATTTGGGGACTACCAACAGCAATAATAACGAAAATGGATAGCACATGCCCACCAGAAGAGAAAATAATGATATAACCAAAACGTTAACTGTTAAGGGGTCTACCCCTTTTTCATACAAATGGACTCGCCCAGTGTGTACTTGTACTGCTGCCGGTGAATACCCGGGAGTGTGTCAGTGATACAGAGGGAGAACCGCTTTGTAGGAGTCACAGTTGCGAGCACGTAGACTCAGAAGGAAGTCATACTTCGATACTGAATTTCCCAGACTGTATATATATTATTATTGCTACTAACCGCATTTCTGGATCTATTAACCGTATTACCAATTGCATCATTACGTCAATACATTTATCTGCTATATTTAATTCCTGCTTTTGTCATTCGTTTGAGACCGGATTTCATCCCGGAATGCACAACATTAACATTCAACACTATTTCAAATAAAAGGTTAGAACCATATCAATAGTGAAAAGAGCGATAACAGTTACTGAACCTGTTTCTGTTGTAAGAAACATGTTTTCTTGAAAAATTGTTTTAAGAGAGAGATTTTATAAATTTCAACCAAAAGCAGTGCTTCCTGCTCGGTCAGTGAATGCCAAATATTTCCTTGTCAGGAAACAAAAAAAATTCTTACCATTACGATTGTCATCAGACTCAAGTTAAAACATACATTCTTATTTAAGACATTTTTAATATTTAAGTAAATGCCCTGTTTATAATAAACAGTAGTAATAACATTTATTATAAACAGATCATTTACTTAAATATTTGTATCTATAAAAAGAACGTATAAACATTAAAAAAATCTCTTAAATAATTGTCGAACTTTGTGCATTTCATAATGTATATATACTTATCTATATTGTATAATCTATTGGAAACTGAAAGATTATTTTAAATGTTATCAATGTGAGTTGCAGGAATTTATTATTTTTTAAATCTGAAAAATACGATTTTAAAATAGAAAAATTCTTTAAAATGATGAAAAGAAATGAGAAGAGAGTATTAATATTACCTGTTTACTAATCTTAATTTTGTCCCACTATTACGGAGCACTCAATGAAGACCAAATTCAACAAAATAGAAATAACCACTATTCTATAATGGAGTACCCAAATTTATTAACGGTAATAAGCGTATTAGTAAAATACATTGTCTAAATTGTTTATGAAGCATTTTTGAGATTGCCTCTTTAAGAAACATTGCAAGTAGTTTTATCATCAAATATATAGATACTTCAATTGACGAACACGTTTGTCCGCCATTTTCTTACTTTCTCTTTTCCCAACTTTTTTTTTTTTACTCGGCTTTGCTTCATTTTGTGTGCGTAAACACTGTCTACGCCATCTGATAGAATTTGATTAATTTAATTCCTGCCAGAATATCAGATAGAGTTCTGATTTTCTGGGTCATGTGACCCGTTCAATCTTACACCCAACTTGTTTTCGACTCGGGCTCCTATATTCTACGGGATTCATTGCTTTTTCTTTTCATTTCCTGCTATCTGTTTTCTTTTTCTGCGTCTGTAAATCTTTTTCTCGCTTTATGTTGTTTTTTCATTCATTTCTCTCTATTTTTCATTCCTTCCCCCCTCTCCCGTTCTCTCTCTCTCTCTTTATTTCATTTATTATTTCTTCGTTTTTGTTTATTTGTTTGTATGTTTCTTTATCCATTTCCTTCCATTTTTCTTCCTCAATTGGTCTTTCTTTCTTTCTTTCTTTCTTTCTTTCTTTCTTTCTTTCTTTGAAACTTAGTTTTATTATAACATTAAATTTGTTTGCTTGCTTCTTTCTTTGTTTATTTTCATTACCCTACTCTAAATTGCCCTTGTTTGTTTGTTTGTTTGTTTCTTTCTTTCTTTCTTTCGTCGCATTTCCTTCTTCCAAAATTTCCCGCATTCAATCTCAAGACAATTCACTTATGCAAATTGCAACGATACTTACAGTTACAAATAAACAATTTTTTTTCGAAAACTAACACTAGAAAAGACAAGAGATAGAAGATAAATCATGAAAATAAATGTAGAAATGAAGTAAAATTCAAATGTCGAAAAATGTGTAACAAAGAATAGACGATAGCAGATGAGAGAAATGGCGATGATTAAATGTTTTTCTTTAATCCGATGAAGCTACTTAATTGTGTCACAGGCTGCAATCATAACTGAATGTTGGACTTATACAAATTCGTCCGTTTGCTTGTTGTTAGTTATGGAAACAAGATGGCTGCGACTCGATTTCGAGTAATGCCATTGTTTCATTTATTCTCAAATACGGGCATCGCTCATGTGGCCTTTTATCCCTCCTAGCTTCTTCCGTTCTTTTCTGCCCATGTGGCAACGTTAGGTGCCACTTGAACTAATTAGTACATTAATATTTTGGTAAGTATTCAATGTGTGACGTCTTTAATGATTTTTGAGGTTGATCTAGTTAGACGTGACTACGTTTATTACACGTTATATTAAATTCCGTGTCAACATTATTGGGGAAATTAGTACGAAGAGCTTTAAGAACATCTCACTTTAGGTTTTCATACTGAACACGATTCAGTTCAAAGTCTCTCTTACCATTCTGGTTATACACCCCATATATATATATATATATATATATATATATATATATATATATATATATATATATATATATATATATTATATTTTTTTTTATATAAAATATTATTCTTATATATATATATATATATATATATATTATAATTTTTGACAAAAAATTTACTCACTACAAGGATGCAACCTTGTTTCGGTACATTTAGTTGCACCTCGACTGGTGAGACCAAAAATGATTATGAATAACTCTGTTTGTAATCAGGCCGCTCGTGGAACATCACTTCCTTTTTTCTTATTGTTTGAAAAAAGAAAAAAAGAAACATTTTAAGAGGGGGCGTATAAGGGTAAAGAAAAAAATAGGAAAGGCAAAAGGGTGACAGTGTGAGACAATAATGCTTGTTGATAACAATTCAGTCTAGGATTGTTGAGGTGTTAAGGTGGTGGCTCAACTCGAAAAATTTAAATCGACAGCAACGGTTAAATGTTTAGGGAACAGCACTTCCAAGTCCCCAAAGAGTGAGGGATGAGGGAGGAAAGGTGAAAATAGGAGAGAGTAAGACGATGAAAGAGGAAGGAGAGATAAGTTTAGACTATGGCCGTAGTAGTAATTAGAAACGCTTTTGGTAACTTTAAAACAAAGCCAGAGCTGAATTATGCATATTTAGTCTGGAGTTATTCCTACTTGTTTTGTAATCAATGAACGTATTATATAAACTAATAAAGTAAGAGGTGGAGATTTTTTCTTGGTATGTTGAATACATAAGTTATTTGGTTTTATTTTACAATAAGTTTTAATTCAGAATTTAAGATTTAAGTATAAAGATATATAAAATTATGGGATGTTAATATAACTTTTATAAACAAATTTGGACATATTGTCGGACTGTATAAATTGTAGAATAAGTATGGATGTAAATCAGTTTACCTGATACTATTACTAGTATTATGTACGTGCAAAAACATTTTAAAAATCATAATCTAAGGTAGATTAGTAGAAAGGTATATAAGAAGGTAGAAAGTATATCAAAGGTGATGAGTTATAATTTTAAAACTTTAGAGTTGTGGAGGTTAGAATTTATATATTATTTTCGTTCTCATTACATCCCCATATATATATATATATATATATATATATATATATATATATATATATATAGTAATTCATCGAGTCTAGAAGAATCTATCTATCTATCTATATATATATATATATATATCTATATATATATATATATATATATATATATAGTCATTAATCGAGTCTAGAAGAATCCTCAACAGAATGCAAAAAGCATATTTTGGGACTCATCAGTAGTACGCATCCACTACCGAGATTCGAACCCGGACTGTTTTAACTCAAGCGTCATACCAACTTTACTAACGGGCCTCGGTGACGAAGAAGAAACTGAATAGACTCGATATAGCGCCGATACTCATAAATTCCGTAGTGATACTCATTCAAGTATTCATGACCCAATGGGTTGTGCCCCAAGAGCCACGTTTTCCTTCCCTTTTAGCGGCGCTAAAAGTGAGTGAAACCAAGATTTCAGGTCAGGACCGATAACATTGATAACTCTTGTCAATAATCTCTTTATATAAAACAGAGGATGTCTGTGTGTCTGTCTGTGTGATGTCTTCTCATTTGAGATCCATCCAACTGTTGTTGACTAAACTTGGCACATACACTGTACTATGTATGAGATAGATTCTTAGAGTAAATATTGATACTTAAAAAAAAATTAATATTCGATAAAGCCAATAAATTCAACTTTTTTCCTTCTAATTCGTTCAAACTCGGTATTTAGGTTACTTACATCATGACGAGCTCAACGATACCTCATTTTTATTTCTACGCCACTGTGTTTAGCGAAAAACTGTGAAAAACCAAACATCAATTTCAACAGAAATCGATTTCAATACAAATTTTAAACTAAAAATTCCCTCAAATTCAAACAATCTAATACAAACTTCACTCAATTGTAGCCAACAATAAGTTGATTATTTAACAGTCATTTAACTTGATAATTGTGTCCACCCGTATAGTGAAAACCTGCGTAAATAACGAAAAATGGTTATTTTTACTGGTTTCTTTCTTATTTTTCGTTGATCTTTCAACCAATTTTCATCAAACTTAACAATTGCTTTACAAATGTATCCTCTTTTACATCTCTGGTAGTACACTGACAAATTGAATTTCAAAAACGCCAAAATAATTGTGGAGATAGCACACTGATAAATTGAATTCAAAAGCTCTAAAATAATTGTGGTCTGACGTGGGTCTTCATGTAGCTTGGTTTAACCCTTCATGTTCTTGTCTAACTTTGATTGAATAAATACAGACGACTTCTGTTATATCAGTAACTACATTAATTCAAAATGATTTTTAATGAAAGTACTTTAAAGTAATTGAAAAACATGATGCGGTTTTTGCTCCATTCTAATTGAACGCTTTTTCTGATCGACCAGCTTGGGTATGGCTGCTAGTATTTAGAGAAATAGAAGAAGAACGAGATCAGATCTGGCAGCGATAGTCGAAAGACAGACGAAGATTGAATTTATAAAAATTCAAGATAAATTCTGGCGAGAAAAATTGTCAGATACAACCGAGTTTTCTAGCAGAACACCTCTCAATTGACTGAATATAATTATTGCACTTCATGTCAGTCGAAACAGTGAACTCAAGAATGCTCACCGAGTTGTTTTCCTGGAGGTTCGCATAAGGAAAAAAAAACAAAAAAACGTCGTTACGATGATTAATAGAGCGCCGGTTCATTTTGAAAGAGTCAAGATCAACAAGGTACTTCTTCCCCTAGTTCACACGAGATTGAGGGCATTTTCGAGATCAACTGCCAATTTGATTTTATCGAACTTATTAGAATTACTATTAAGACTAGAATAAAAATTTGTATAATTCGTACAGATACCGAGTCGGGAACTGATGACATGAGGATGGTTGTTGATAAAAATAATGAACACTGAATTCAAGAATAGAACCCTGGACAATGCCCGCACTAATGCAAAATGATCTTGAGGAGTGGCCATTACAGGTAACATTAATTACGCGGTTTTATAAGAAAGACTGTATAAAATCAAAGAAACGACCATAAAAAACCATATACTTACAATACGGGAAGAAATCCAGCACGCCAAACCCTGTCAAACGCCTTTGAGATATTCTGAGCAATACTCAGAGCTACATCATTCTTGTATAAAACTTGACAGACTCAGTGATAATCGCCAAAACTCCGGCGGTTGGCCATGAGAAACGAAAGATATATTGTTTGTTTGAAAGGAGACAATGCCAGGTGAGATGTTTAACCAATTCAGACTTGATTAGAGCATCTAGTACGTTGCCAAAGAGAGCTAGAAGAATTACAGGTTGATAGTTAAATAGATCAAACGATTCTCCAGAGTTCTTAAAACAAGAACTACAGAAGAGGATTTGGAAAGAAAGATGCAGCAAAGCATCTATTGGAGAGAACAGAGGCAAGTTCAGGGGTACGTTTCTTAAGGGCTATTGCAGGGAGACTATCCTCCACATGCTTTGTGGGATTCTAGTTTGGAAATGATAGAGGAAACCATGGAAGAATTTATATCCATATCACACAGCAGAGGCTCAGTACTAAGTGGAAAGTCACTCAAAGTGACTTCTGATGTCAAAAGTAGAATTGGAAGAGAATTTGCAGGTAAAATATTCTGGCTTATCAACAGAACATATTACTGTAAATTTATTAAAGAGAGGAGGGATTACGGACTTACCTTTATTAAACTCTTAGAGTGCAGCCAGTAATCACGAGAAACCAACTTGTCAGTACGATTCCGAGCGAACAATGACTTAGCCCCCGTGAGGACACGTTTGCACATTACAAGCGGATACAAAGGGACATCCATTGAACTACCGGAGGACACATCTTTATTAGATTTAGAATGCACAAGCTGATAGAGACACTGCTTAATTAATAAAACAGGAAGTCTATTTCAAATGAGAAGTGTCCTCTATCGTTTGAAGTTATATATGTATGTTTGTGTGTGTGTGCGTGTGCATGTGTGTGCGTGTGCGTGCGTGCGTGTGTGTGTGTGTGTGGAACCCCGTTAAAAATTGTGGAAAAATTCAACAGATTTAAGTAATATCACTAAGAATATTGATTGGCACATTTTTGTGCAAAAAGTAGGCTCCTGATGTGAATTTCCACATTGGCATTTATTAACCAATCAGCGACGTTATCTCAAACGCGCTTAAGGTTTTGACATTTCAGACAACCATGTTTGTTGTCCGCTACGAAATTTGAGAGATCCCTCCAGAAAATGATCGACAATATTTTCCCTCCTAAAATAGATATTTAAAAATTGGGTAAAATTTTTATTAACCAATAAAATTCTGAGTTTAGTAAATCTAACTTTTAGCTTCCCTAACCCATCTGTTTTGTATAAATACAATTGCTTACATTCAAAAGTTAGTATTAAGTTTTCAGTTTTTTGGTAAACTTTTGAGCAATGGCTGTTGTGCGCAAACTGATTCCTCACAACTTTCGTATAATTAATTACTCAAATTTTCACATATTTTATCGAGTAAATTCTTGAAATACGATTGCGATTTTAATGTAAATTAAGCAACACAAAAAACGCACGAACGGATTTATATCAACAAAAATATTAATAGTAGTAATAACCCAAGTCTCCTTTGCTAACTGCGGGAAAATTACACACACTCATAAATAACGTAAATACTTGACCCTCTCATTAAATAGGCACATTCTGTTTTTCTATCATATTAACGCAAATAATTATGTTGTGTTGTAAAAATAAAAACAAAATATTTTTGTGGGACTTTGTTTTGCGAGGATCTTTATAATTTGTTTCTTTCAGTTTGAGAGAAAACAAATACGCAATAATAAAATTTATTTAAATTTGTACAGCTATGTTTGAAGAATGTTTCTTGGCGTTTGGCACGCTTTTTCCTCCACACACACACACACACACACACACACACACACACACACACACACACACACACACACACATATATATATATATATATATATATATATATATATATATATACGTATCCGGGAATTTAGTATCTGCTGTCATTGAATTTAGTCTTTTGCCTACTGTTTTCACAATATTTCACAAAGTATACTTTTCTGAAAAAGTTAGTAATAAATCCAGCTAGAGCCCCATATTCAAGTTCACTCAACTTTAGGGTAATACATCTCTCTCTTTCTTTTCCTACCCTATTTTATCTTATTCTCTCTATATATAATCTGGAAGACAACAGTGGGGAACCTTGTGAGAATCAAGCTCTCATCAAGAATTTCAAGGGTAAAAATGTTATTACAATGTGTGTATTGTATTCTCCTATTCAAAAGGATTTTGGAAACCTGTTGTAAGGCAGTTGTTAATACATTATTTTAAAGAAATAGTCGCAGTTTTGAAAATGTTGAAATATTGTAGACAGTGCCAAATTTGTATGTGTTTTTATCATCTTCTTTTCTGTAATATTTAATTCATTATAAATTACCTGGTTCAGTTTAAAATTTATGCAGATTTCATCACTGATGATTCTTGCCAACCGGTATTTCCATGTTATATCATTAACTTGATACAACTTGTTGCTCAATCATTGCTGAATTGTTTATTAGTTTTCTTCATAAACAACACTAGCAGCATGGCCCTTTGTCGTGCTGATGTTGCTACATGCCTTACTTCTTGCCTATCTCACACTGCGAATTTTTTCTAAGCTCTCTACTAAACATTAAATCAGTTACGAAAAAAGAACTAAACAAAATAAACACAAAACGATCAGCTTTAAAAAAGGACTCGTAACTGGAAAAACTGAATGAAAAAAGAATGTTAACAACAAATACTTTTTCACACCCAACTCAGTTCTGCGGAATCAGAATCAACGTTGAGTTTAAGCAAGCGAATGAGCCAATTGGAGTAAAGTGCCATGCAGATTTAAATTTTTCCTACTTGTGACGAATGCAGCTATCGATTGTTTTTGCATGCTAGCATGCTAGTTAACATTCGTGTCAGTCAGCTGACCAGTACAAAATGGCCAGTACAAAATGGCCAGTACAAAATGGCCGCAAACTACAAGAAAAACACCGTAGAAGCATGAAAAAATCGATTATTTCCACTATCGATGGGAGTTGGGAAATGCAAAGTCGGTCTTGGCCTTCCCACTAACTTGGAGCATGTGCATGTAGATTTTGGTGCAAATCCGTCGAAAATTTGTGGCCGTGCATTCGTTACAAACACACACACACACACACACACACACACACACACACACACACACACACACACACACACACACACACACATCCTGCCTTTTATAGATAGAGACAACATATAAACATTAACTGTTTATTCTTTATTTTAGAGCTTGGTAATGAGTGGTGAAAAGATTGCAATTAGAGTCATTTTTAGCAACTTATAAAAAAAAAGAGGCGTGAGTGCACAGAAATTAATGATGTTGAAGACCCAGGAACTGACAATGAACGTGTGTCACAACACTGGTGTCAGACTTTTAAAGGAAGGTGACATCATCCTCGAAGAAAAACCAAGGTCAAAGAGACCTTCTGTTGTGAAAGATGATGTCTTGTTTGAAATGTTTGAGCAACATCTAAGCTCAAGCAGTCATACATTGTCGGCAGAACTTGATCCTTCACAAAGCACCATTAATCAACTCCTCCATAAGCTCGGCCTTTTGAACAGACGTTATCGAGAAGTTCTTCATGAACTGACCGATGACCAGGCTCGTATTATTGATTGAATAAAAGGTACGTCTTAATAGGAGGAATTTTGTAAGTTTCGTGGAACAGATATCTTAACTTGTTCACATCTATCTATCTATCTATCTATCTATCTATCTATCTATCTATCTATCTATGTCAGTTCATTTTCTTTCTTTCTACGTCTGTACACTATCTATCTATCTATCTATCTATCTATCTATGTCAGTTCATTTTCTTTCTTTCTACGTCTGTACATTATCTATCTATCTATCTATCTATCTATCTATCTATCTATCTATCTATGTCAGTTCATTTTCTTTTTTTTACGTCTGTACATTATCTATCTATCTATCTATCTATCTATCTATCTATCTATCATCTATGTTTCATTTTCTTTCTTTCTTTCTACGTCTGTACATTATCTATCTATCTATCTATCTATCTATCTATCTATCTATCTATCTATCTATGTCAGTTCATTTTCTTTCTTTCTACGTCTGTACATTATCTATCTATCTATCTATCTATCTATCTATGTCAGTTCATTTTCTTTCTTTCTACGTCTGTACATTATCTATCTATCTATCTATCTATCTATCTATCTATCTATCTATCTATCTATCTATCTAAATCTTTTCGTCTACATCTCAGTTCATATCTTTCTATCTAGATCTCTCTCCCTCTTTCTCTCTCAATCTATCGCCCTATCTCAATTTTCCTTTTAGATGACTCAGTTTCTTAATAACAATTTATTGCTTAATAAAATGGCGACAGATTTCGGAGACCCGTGACGATTACGTTGGATGAAAACAACCTTTTTGACATTTTCTTGGTTGCATTTAAAGCGTAGACATTTTTGCAGCATTGAATACGACCAATTTTGATTCCAATTCGTATTTAAAATGGTCGACGTCAGAACTGGCGGGAAATGCATCTGACAAAGTTAATATAGTTTTTATTGAATCTTAATCGGAGCCCAAAGTTACGTTAAGATATTAGATTTTCTGAATATAGAAAAAGTAATTATATAAGTAAAAAGTAGGCACGCATATATACACTCACATTCACAGACACATGGATACACAAACGCACATATCCACACGTATATATGCAATTGTATTGTCTGATAATACATGGATTTACACACACATAGAGATAAGTGATTACCTAAACTGACCCCATAAAAAATGTACATATTACTTTCGACTAATATACAAGCAGGCTATGTATGTATGAATGTATCTAAGTCTGTTAATTATCTATCTATCTATCTATCTATCTATCTATCTATCTATCTATCTGTCTGTGATACGGATATTTAAAGGCTGCTAGCACCTTGTTTTGGATGGAGTCTCTATTTAACGGACACATCTAATTGTAAAATTTATTTCTAGTCTCGACTATTTCCTCCACTCCTCGCAGGGAGGATCGTTGGCAAACGATTTTTGTATGCGGACATTTTTCAGCTTAAAATAAAACCAAAATAATGCAAAACTGACAATAAAAAAATGCTACGAATCAGTAGTATAGCAAATCGTTTGGCCTATCGTTTGGTCTCTCGCTATGTCAGTCTGTTTGTCGGTTAATCTGTCTTTTTCTTTAAAGCCCCTCACGTCACATGAATATTAAACACCATGATCGTTAATAAAACCTTTGATTTGAGGCCCAGCACGCATATGCACATAAAATTTGGAAAAATATTACGACTCTAACAACCAAGATGAGGACACTATTTCGAATCATTCTGAGTTACAATAATGATAATTTCACTTTAAAAAAAACAGACATGTTTTATATTCACACACAAACACACACACACTGTCTCTCTCACACACACATACACTAACTCACACACACATGCACACACATACATATATATATATATAAATATATTCAAGTCAAGAGTCACTCATTATCTAGCCTTCTTATCCTCTTAATGCCCAATTTGTATCACCACACTTTTTATTCATCATAAACCACTCATTTCTAACCCTCTGCCTTGAGTGGCTCTAAAGTTTTGTATTGGATGAAATGTAGTAAAAAATTCTTCAGTCTTTTCTTACCTGTAAAAACAGAAATCAAGTAGAGTAAGAAGCCGAAAAATATCAATATATGAAGAAAGTTCGACAAGTAATTTGCTGACAGGATTAATTCGGTGTGAATTGAAACTGTGTGAAAGTTGTAAGGACAAAACAAGATGGGCATCTAATACTTATTGCAACAGCAAGAACAACGTTCATATTGTACGCCTGCGTATCTAATATCGCAACAAAATGATTGCCACAATAGAACCATGGACAAAACATAAAGGTGTGAGACGTAATAAATTTATTTTTTACATGATTCGTATTGAAATTTCATTACAATCCTTTGATTCTGATAAATATACATATGTTTCTTTACATTTTACTTTTTATCTATCTATCTATCTATCTATCTATCTATCTATCTATCTATCTATCTATCTATCTATCTATCTTCTTGCTACTCCCTTTTGGCTGGATCTGCTGAGTCTTCGCTTAAAACAATTCAAAATCGTCATTGCGGTGTGTGGGAGGAATGACATATTCATCCCTACAACTCCATCCCCGCAGACGAAATCTATCTATCTATCTATCTATCTATCTATCTATCTATCTATCTATCTATCTATCTGTAGCAGTTTGTTCATTATTTATCTATCTATCGATCGATCTATCGATCTTACACTGTTCATATCTATCTATCTATCTATCTATCTATCTATCTATCTATCTATCTATCTATCTATCTATCTAATACTGTTCATATCTATCTATCTATCTATCTATCTATCTATTTATCTATCTATCTATCTATCTAACTTATATATAACAACCCAGTTCAAAATTGCTCCTAATGAAGGGGGAAGGCATCGAGTGCTTTGCTATTAGAGGAGCCAACGCAATGGCCTCAAAATAAAAGAACCATGAAACACAAACAAAACAGATTTCTATCCTTCTCGCTCGTAAGCGTAGAAGGTGCGGCTGTTGATAAAACGTTAATCAAGTGTTTATACATTAAGATGAATCAGTTTGGCCTGCCTTGTGTTCGAATAAGTAGCTGTGTATTTCCTGGCAATAATAAAGGCTGGTGTTCGAGATCAATTTAAAACCAAAGCACGATTTCATATGTTGATTTTAAAGGCAATCTGACTCTCTATACGATGATGATTAGCGCAACAAAATTATCCTACAATTTAATTTAATTTCTGTTGGACAAAATAAAACAGTCGTTCATTTCTTTTTCTATTGTTAGAAGCAAAGACGGTTTCCGAATTTGATTTTCAAGGAAGGTCTATCTTCACTCATTGGAAAATTAATACAATACCGTCATCTAATTCATGAACGTCTATCATTCTAAGTTAAGATCTATCTATCTATCTATCTATCTATCTATCTATCTATCTATCTATCTATGTATATATATATATATATATATATATATATATATATGATTTCAGTCCGAGCAAGGCGAGAATGCGACTAGTACGCAGGGGGTTACAGTGAGTAAATGTTAGAGAAAAGACTGTGTATAGGGAGGATCAGTCATCTATTTCATGAACGTCTTATCAGTTTAAGTTTACTGACAGGATTAATTCGGTGTGAATTGAAACTTTGTGAAAGTTGTAAAGACAAAACAAGATGGGCATCTAATACTTATTGTAACAGCATAAAAAATATTATGGTTTATTTTTCATAATTTTGCTACACGTGTTTCTGGTCTCGCGACCTTCTTCAGGTAAAGGGTGGAGATTTCCACATATTATTAAAAATTAATTTTTTCTCCTTTACGTTTTTCGATGTTAAATATTCTCTTTGTTTGTGTTAGTAATCCGAATTTCTTTCTTGAACAGTTTGTATCCGCTTGTAATGTGCAAACGTGTCCTCACGGAGGCTAAGTCATTGTTCGCTCGGAATCGTACTGACAAGTTGGTTTCTCGTGATTACTGGCTGCCCTCTAAGAGTTTAATAAAGGTAAGTCCGTAATCCCTTCTCTCTTTAATCAATTTACAGTAATATGTTCTGTTGATAAGCGAGAATGTTTTACCTGCAAATTCTCTTCCAATTCTACTTTTGACATCAGAAGTCACTTTGCTTGACTTTCCACTTAGTACTGAGCCTCTGCTGTGTGATATGGATATAAATTCTTCCATGGTTTCCTCTATCATTTCCAAACTAGAATCCCACAAAGCATGTGGAGGATAGTCTCCCTGCAATAGCCCTTAAGAAACGTACCCCTGAACTTGCCTCTGTTCTCTCCAATAGATGCTTTGCTGCATGTTGCTTTCCAAATTGTTGGAAATCCTCTTCTGTAGTTCCTGTTTTAAGAACTCTGGAGAATCGTTTGATCTATTTAACTATCAACCTGTAATTCTTATAGCTCTCTTTGGCAAGGTACTAGATGCTCTAATCAACTCTGAATTGGTTAAGCATCTCGCGTCTCATTGTCTTCTTTCAATTTACTCAAGGTTATGCTAGCTGTAGATATTACTGGATTACAGTAAATATAAAGATCAATACGCTTACCTCGGTTTCTAAAATAAGGTGTGTATAAACAGTATTCAGCCCCCATATGAATGCACAGTATATCGTCTTTAGATGTTAACATATGTCTGTACTGCCACATGCGAACAATTCTACAATTCTGGCGAATACAATTTTGCTGTACGTTAAACCACGCCTCGTGCAACAGTTGCAGCAAGAGTCAGACGTCGTCTTATTACGTCCCATACATGTTCAATGGGGTAAAAATCTGACGGTTGTGCCAACTAGGGAACCGTTTTCAGAGCAGGTTGAGTAGCATGGGTATCATATTGGCAGGCATTATCCTACTGTAACGGCACATAGTTTCTGTTACATAAATGGGAGCAGAACGAGTTGGATAATATTCTGGAAATGCATGAGGTTGTTCGACGTTCGCTCTTCAAAAAGAAAGGCGAGTGAGAGCTGAAATTGAATTGTACCCCTAACCATGACGTCAGGAGTCCTGGTCACCTCTCCCCTGGAAACGGTTCGAAATTGAAAATCAAATATCGAAATTCCAGTTCCAGTCTGGTTCGTTATGCACACTTATACACCCAATAAAATCTTAAAAGCTTGAACACCGACGAGGCATTTGTATGAGCGCTATTACACCAGAATATGGTCAAGACTAAAGTTTTATCAGAAAATTTAATATCTCCGACAAGCACAAACTGGTTTTTAAAGCCATATTTATTCAGGTCGGAGGCGATAATACCTTTCCACAGATTCCCTTTTTTGAAATTATATGTGACTTACCATACATTCTTGTGCGAGATAGTGTAGCTCTGGCCTCATCCATGAAGATAGCATCTTGGAAATTAGTCTTCCTGTATTTATGTGCCCAAGTAATACGCTACTCATGTGCGTCTTGTTTAGGATGGGTCTGGAGATGGGTTTAAGAATTCTACACTGGGTGATTCTAGACAAAGAAGAAACCCCAGCACGTTCAAAGATGGCGGAACTTATGCTGCCGAAGCCTTTTCTCACTTGTCTACTTATTTTTTGAATGTCACGCTTTTTCCCCTCCTTTATCTTGTCTTGATTTCCCACAAATGACTTCAATGTTATTATATCACGACAAAGGTCTTTGTCTAATTCACACAAAGATAAACCCTCTGCGAGACCTGAAACAATTCGTGTCTTGTTTGTAACTGTCAGACGTCGTTTCAGTGGTATTCTTGTATACCTGCAATAAAGTGTGACTCAGTTAAAAACACTTTAAAATACATAACATAACGTTGTATGTAGCTTATCAATATGATTCAAATTTTCTCTGCATATTTACCTACTTAGAATCTTTCAGCGTACCAAGTGTCACTTTTGTACAATGTTTAATATTTAAAATATTAACAAACATGTGACTTGCAATAAAGTATGATACACAGTTTATACTTACCCACTTTCTGATTGCCTGACATATGCTTCCGATAACGCCTTTCCATTTATAGACTACAGATCTGGCACACCCATAACTCACTACAGAAGTATAAACAGCGAGATTAAACTGTAAATCATCATTTTATGACAAGCTGCTCATACAGGAATCTTTTCACCTTTGTCCGGTTCAAGGCTACAAGTGTGAAGTATACGGCAGAGATCGAACTCACAACACAAGCAAATGGCCTACTAAGACTTACTTGATACCTATAACTTAATGGTCAGTACCCTTGATTATGGTATAAAGCACCAAGTGTGAAACAACGCACTACAGCGGTAATAGTCTATTTAACTAGTTTATTAGCAATTACACTATAGTGAAGTATTTGTCTTGAATCACT